CGCCTGGCTGCCCAGGTTAGTTTTAAACTCCAGGCCTCCGGAAGTGTTGGGAGAACAGGCGTGAGGTACTGAGCCCAGCCTCACCATACTTTTGATCTTTCCTACACTGGATTATCTGCTCACCATCATTTGTTGCTACTCTTGTCTCTGTGGCTCACCTATTAAATAATTTTCTTTTGACTTGAGTTTTAGTTCCTGAGGCATGAACCAGTTGGGAAAGAGAAGGGTTGTCTATTGCCTACCAAAAGTTGGCAGAGAGATAGTGAGTACCCACCAGGTTCCTTCCTGAGAAATCATCAATAATCCTCTTTAAAAAAACAAAACAAAAACATCACTCCAGGGAAGGATTGAAGGCATTGTTTTAAGATATAGGAAGAAATCTTACCAAGAGGGGATGGATTTGATTTAGTAAAAGACACACGGGGATAGAATTTATATGACCCAGCTAGGCTTAGAAACCACATCCAGATTTTCCTAACCAAAAATGTGTCCAAAGTTATTTTTCTGACTTTTTACTTTAGTTTTTGGAAAAATCTGAACAGGAAATTTAAATCAGTTTCCATTTGACAAATTATGTATACTGAAAATAAAATGATATTGAGACAGGGAAAACCAAGACATTGGGGCAATGCAAGTGGGGGCCTGAAGGCCAGTGGATACAGTATACACAAACATCACATTTGGAAGGTCTAGAGCTCCACTACTTTCAGCCTCCCAAGGACAAACATAACATGGTGGTGGTTTCAGTGAGGAGTCCAGCTACTTTTTACCCAAAAAAGGAGGAGCAGACCACCCAGCCTGGAGCCAGCACAGCTGGCTGGATGGCATAAGCTACCTCTATGCTTGACTAAAGGTTAGTGTTGGAATCTTAAATGTAAAGAAACCCTGCTCTTGGGTTCATTGTTATTCTAGCCTTGAACAACACATGGTGTAAAACACAGAAAGTAGTTATAGTTAAAGCAGCACTGCAGCTCTCTGAACTTGCTAGGGCATACCTAATTGTGTATTAATGACTTTCTATATGCCAGGCACTGTTCTAAGTTCTTTACTCACATACACCAACTAATACTCAAACTTATAAAAATAAAATGTCCCTACTTTAGAGGTAAGACTACTGAGGTTTAGGAAGAAGATATACTACTAGGAAGTGGCTGAACAAGGATACATACCCAGCAGCTTTACTGGGGGTTTGTGCTTTTTAAACCACTAGTCTACACACAACTAATCATTAGCTACTGGTTCCTAAATTGGGTAGGATATAAAAATCTGTCGTATTACAGTTGTCCCTTGGTATTTGAGGGGGATTGGTTCCAGGACCCCCCTTCAGATACCAACATTGAGGATGCTAAAGTCCCTGATATATGGTGTAGTATGGTGTAGTATCTGTACATGCTAATATAACTACACTTAGTTTATGTCATCTCTAATACCATGTAAATGTCATGTAAATAGTTGTCATACTGTATTGGTTTTTTTATTTGTTGTTTTCATATTTTTGATCTACCATTGGTTGAATCCACGGATGCAGAACCAGTGGCTTGTAGGGCCGACTATGTACATACTTTGCCTTAACATGTTAGTGGTGTGAAGTGGCCAGTTTACATAAGCACGTGCCTCCTGGAACAGTTTCTTGGCCAAAAGCAACAAAATAGCAACCACAAAGCATTTAGTCATATATAGCTGTCTTCTCTGGGGGTTCCCTACTAAAATAAGCATGAGAATAATTTCCATTTTAAAAAATGATTTGTTTCCATTTTAATGGACATTCTTACCCAAAGGTCATTATGTGAAAGAGAAAGGTCTCAGGTATAGAGAAACCTACTTTAAAATTCTGATTAGGTTGGGCCATTTCTCAGTGAATCTAGATATGGAGCGTTTCCTCTCTAGACTTTCTGCAAACTAGAGCTATCTGACCAAGATATTGAGGAAATGTTCAAAATTAAAAGATGGTCCTGCAATCTTAACTGAACTCTAGTTTCTCTCTATAAAATAGTTGTTCCCACCCCCCTCAAGAACTGATGTGCAAAGTGTATGGAGATCTTTAGAAGGTCAATAAAAGAAATCCAAACACATGTCCCTGCACCTGGGGACCACTTAGACTCACCCCTGCCTAAATTACCCCAGCATGCCTGGGCCTGGGGCTTCTCCTTGTTAAGAGATCCCAGAATAAAAACCAGTATCTGGGACAGGTGCGATGGCTCAAGCCTGTAATCCTAGCATTCTGGGAGGCCAAGACAGGAAGAGTGCTTGAGGCCAGGAGTTCGAGAATAGCCTGAGCAAGAGCAAGAGCTGGGCTCTACAAAAAAAAAGAAAAAGAAAACTCAGCTGGGCATGGTGGTGCACAACCGTAGTCGCAGCTACTCAGGAGGCTGAGGCAGGACGACCACTTGAGCCCAGGAGTTTGAGGTTGCAGTGAGCTATGATGACACCACTGCACTCTGTCCTGGTGAAAGAGTGAGACTCTGTCTTAAAAATAAACAAACAAAAAAACACAGCATCTGTTGTGACTTTTTCACACAAGAACTGAAGCAGCACCAAAGCAATTTATTTTGCAAACATCTCACAAATCTGACTTCTAAAGTATCCCTAGAACCACCCCCCACCATGAACCGGAGGACGATTTCTAATGTAATTTACTCCAAAATTATCAGTGGCAATCATGCCAAGACTTGGTATCTTATTGCTTTTTCCTCCTTTCCCTTGATAATGTCTGAGAGGTTCTGATGGTTTTAGCTGTACAACGTTTAATTATTCCATCCTACCCAAACATACAGATATTGGTGGATGAAATGAGACATGTGTAAGATATCTCTCTATAAATGTAAAATATGCAATGTTGTTAGACATATTAGTATAGTAATGGGCTCTACTACTTGCTGTAGGGAAGACCAAACTCCAGGCCATGGATGATAATAATGAAGTTGTGGACCTAACTGGTGGGAGCCTAAAATAACACTGGGACTATCTAGACAGAAAGTATAAGCTAATTAACCTTTTTCAAAATCATGGACAGCTTCACTGAGGCAATGAAGCTGCTTGGTTCTTCCTCAGAGAGGTCTGAAATAGATTACTAGCCATGTGTAACATGGTATAAATAAAGGATTTTGACTTTAGAGAGATTCTGAATTATTTATAAGGCACCTTAATAAGAAGCAAATTAGAAGATGGAGATTTAGTGAACGTTGTTGGTAGTGGTTTTGTTGTTACTGTTGGTGACTATGATGGTAATACAGTGGGTACATCCACTTTTACATATACTTTTTTTTTTTTGAGACAGATTCTTGCTGTCACCTAGGCTAGAGTGCAGTGGCACAATCATAGTCCACTGCAGCCTTAAACTGGGCTCAAGCGATCCACCTGTCTCAGCCTCCCAAGTAGCTAGGACTACAGGCATGTGCCACTCACTACACCTGGGTAATTTTCCTATTTTTTGCAAAGACAGGGTCTAAGACCACTATGTTGCTCAGGTTGGTCTTGAAATTCTGGCCTCAAGTGATCCTCCCACCTCGGGCCCCTAAAGTGCTAGAATTACAGGGGTGAGCCTCCTCCCCTTCAATTGCCACTCAGTTCCTGCTGTGACTATCCTTCAATGCACAGCTCCAAAACAATTCAGTATGTTTTTGTTTTTAATTTCCCCTAACATGGTCAGAGAAG